AGTGAGAGAAGATCTTCACCTGAAACCTACAGTGTCCCTTTTTAGCAGGAAGTAGCTAAGAGAATACGCCATCCCCTTTTCCTTATGAATCAGGGTGAAGTCTTTCTCAGGGAGGAGTGATAGGGAACGGCAAAGGACACACTGACAAAGGAGATTAATTAGAACTGGCTTTGACAAGCACTGTGGCAATTGGACAATTAAAACAGACATTCGGGGTGGGGGGAGAAGAACGAACTGGGAAGGATGGTAGAGAAAACAGTACAACAATGAATGAATGAAAACCCAAAATCTCTGTAAATGTTCATTAAAACTAATAAAATTTAATAATAATTTTAAAAAAAGTGGCCAAAGGAACAAACGGATAGGTCTTGGAGAAAGTGCAGCCAGGATGCTTTTTGCAGGCAAGAATGACAAAGCTTCATCAGTCTCACATATTTTGAGCATGTTGCTAGGGGAGGCTATTCCTTAGAAAGGTGGAGGGTCGGTGAAAGATAGGAAGACACTCAAAGAGATGGATCAACGCAGCGACTCAGCCATAGGTTCAAATGTGTAAGAGATGATGAGGGTGACACGGGATAGGACAGGGTTCAGATCTGTTTGTAGGGTCGCTAAGAGTCATACGTGACTTGATGGTACCTAATAACAGCAACCAAAAAAGTGACCTAGTGGTAAGGAATGATATTGCAAACCCAAAGTCATGTGATTCAAAACTGTCAGCTGCTCCAAGATTCAAAGATGGGCAATCTCCTCCCTTGTGATTCACAGTCACTGAAAACTCACTGGAGGGTCAGCTATGAGTTGATTCTTATTCTATGGCTCATAACAAAAACAGAAAAATGCCGGAGTCAGATATGGGATGAAGATCTCCTGAAAGTGTAAGTAAACATCTTGGGCTTCTGTGTTCAACAATATTGACATTCTTAGGTCCCATAATCAAACTCCCAGTGCCATAGAGTCAATTCCAACTCAATGGCTGTACAGGATAGACTGGAACTGCTCTCAGGCTGTAAATCTGCATGAAAGCAGACAGCCTCACATCTTTCCTGCAGAGCGGGTGGCAAATTTGGTTAAAATCCCAACTCTCAGCCCGCTATGCCACTAGGGCTCCTTCTAATGTTGTTGTTGTTGTTGTTATGTGCTGTCGAGTCATTTGCGACTCATAATGACCCTATGCACAACAGCCCTAAACCCTGCTCTATCCTACGCCAACCGCACTGCCTCTGACACACCCATCCCAATTACCCCAGTCACTGAATCAATCCATCTCATAGAGGGTCT